TGTAGCCTTCATTTCAAATTGGTACTTTATTATGTTATCGATTTTCTCAGTTATTTCCCTAATAGTCTGCTTAAACATCCTTGTAACCAAAATTCTGAACTCTGTATCTGTTAGCTTGCTTGGATCTATTTCATTTAGTTCCTCTTCTAGAGATTTCTTCTGTTCTTTCCTTTGTGACATGTTTCTTTGCCTCCACATTTTGGCTGCTTCCAGGTGTTTGTTTCTATGTATTAGGTAGAGCTGCTATGTCTCCTGGAATTTGTAGAGTGGCTTTGTGTAGTAGGTGTCCTGTAGGGTCCAGTGGCTCAGCCTCCCCAGTCACCTAAGCTGGGCCTTCTAGGTGCTCCCCTGTGTGGGCTGTGTGCACTGTCCTGTTGTAGTTGAGCCTTGGTTGCTGTTGGTGTCCCTGGGAGGAATTGACCCCCCGGCCAATTGGCTGTGAGGGCCAGCTGCAGCTACAGCCAAAGAGCTGCTGTGCTGAAGACTCCCCTATGGATCAGGATTTACTTCAGCGGAGCTTTGGTGTTCACCAAGTGTGCCCCTTGAGTGTGTCACTCATGGATGTGGTAGGATTGTAATCCAGCCTAGTCAAGTCTGACCACCAGACTTGTGGGCAGAGATGTACTGTCTCTGGGTCCTCCCAGGAGGTGCAAAGTCAGCCCCTGCCTGTCCCTTGCCCAGCGCCACCCAGCATGAGCTACTCAGCAATCCATAGTTGGCTGCTACTTGTGCTTGGCTTGGCATTGTCCAGGAGAGACCAAGCTATAAGCCAATGCAAACTGCCACTAGTGCCAGGCCTGGGGCTGCTTATCAAGCCGTATGGGGCCCACTGCTGCTTGTTTGAGAGATTTTAGGAAAGTCCTAAGCATGAGGATGGAGAGGCCACTTGCACAGAAAAGCCCCCGGAAATGGCCTGGATGAGCCTGCAGGTGGGGAGGGGTGGGGCCTCCGAGAATCACAGGTCGGGGCCAAAGGTGAGAGCCAGGTGCTGGTGATTCAAATATGGCACCTGCCTGCCGGCTGTTTGCGGGGAGGACTCGCCAAAGGAGCAGTGGTCTCCGCCAGCTCTTCTGCCTGGGAGGAAGCTGCCCTTCCGCCTCTCTCCCGGATTTCAGGCAGGTTAGTTCCTCCCCGAGTGTCCCAGGTCTTTTCAGGCTGCTGCCCGGCGCTGGGCTCAGAGGGAGGGTGTCCAAGTGAGTCTGGGCCTGGGGCCCTTTAAGAGGAGCTGCTGGGGCTCCCGCAGCCTCTGTGACCCTCAGGGACAGTCCCCGCTGGTTTCACAGCCCGAAGGTGTGGGGACGTCTCTTCCTGGCCCTGGAGCCCTGGGCTGGGGTCTCCTGTGGGGCTGGGACCCTCACTCCTTCCGGAAACCCCCATGGCTGAGATGTCCCTCCCAGGTTTCAACCCTGGCACAGGGTGTGGGCCTGGGGCCGCGTCTCTGTGATTCAGCCCC